GAAATATAAGAAGTAAACCCATGCTGTTATGTTGAGCTGTAGGGGACTCAGGTCAACAATTTCTGACATTGCCAGTGAAGTGGAAGACCCAATACTATTAAGGACTACTGGACTCTTAGAATATTTTGCTGAGTTAACACACCTATAATATTCAAATGACAGAACTGAACAAAAAAGGGGATACAGATGAATGTCCATTTTGTATCTGTGTATTCAAAATGATTAGGATAGATATATAGTTACAGTCTCTTAATGAATAGAGTGATTTGTTCTAATGGTGTTTGTAAATAGGATATTATGTCAACATCTTGTACAGCATATAACCACTAGGAAGGCAGTATGCAATGTGGTAATTATTGCAACTGTCCTACCAATTTAGTTTGAAACTGTCTCATCACTATTTGTTTATCAATAAAATTATGGAAAAAAGAAAAAAGATATAGTAAAGGAAATTCTTTAGGCAGAAGGACACGATTGACATCAGTTTTAAATAAGACTATGTATAATAGAATGAAGATCACCATAAATTGTAAATACCTTTATTTTAATTATTTTGAAAGATAATTGAGTAACAAAAATTAAAATATATTGGATGGAGGTGTAGATCAGTGACAGAATACTTACCTGGCATGTGTGAAGCCTTCAATTCTCTCCCCAGACAGAAAAAGAAATGTGTTGGTCACAAGGGAAGAAGTTGGTTAGTAAGAAATGGGAACAAAGCTAAGGGGCAGAGTCTCTAGCACTGTTCTCAAGAGAGATAGAAAGACGGGGGAGAGAGAGAGAGAGAGAGAGAGAGAGAGAGAGAGAGAGAGAGAGAGAAGCAGAGACAGAGACACAGACAAGAGACTCCAAAATGAGTACTTACAGCAGTTTTATATGCAGCTTCAATGTAAAACACAAGATTCTGTATGAAATTGACTTCATCTAGGCTGTGAATGATGTGGAGCCCTGAAGAAAAGTAAATAACTGGTCAATTACAAGCTTATAGGCAGCCATAGTGTGGAGGTGCTCACTACTTCCAAGCAATCTGACTCTGGCCTAGAAACAATGGAGAGTGCTTTGATTTCTAACCATAAAAACAGCACCCCAAATCAGCCCTACATCTCTAAGTAAGCGCATATTTTAACATGAAAGCATTTAAATTGTAGATTTCATAGGAAGTCTCTGATTCTTGGTATACAGATAACAAATTTATGACATACCTTAATATATAAACCTGCACAACTGAAATGACAAAGAAAAACATTTCAAAATAGAAGCCTGACATAGAACATGGCATCTGTAATCACAGTACTTGAAGGCAGAATCTGGAGGATTGCTGTTTGAGGTCAGCCTTGGCCACACGGTAAATGCAAGGCCAGCCTGAACAACATGCAAGACCTTGTCTCAAAACAAAGCAAACAGAAATATTTTTAAAAACCAGAAAAGTTTTAAATACTAAGCAAGAAATAAAGTAGATAAAAATTAGTTTGAAGAGCTTAAAGTCATATTTTAAGTAAAGGTAAAGGTAGTCTAATATAAGCTATATAAAGACAATTATGGCTTGCGTATGGAGTGTTTTGCATGAATTATGCATTTAATTTTTGCAATAATTCTAAGAGGTTGGTATTTTAGTCTCTTCATGGATCTTAGAGAGGTTAAACACTTGCCCAAGATCATGTAACTACGAATAATGGAACTGAAATGACTGTACATTTCTGTTTCACTTCACAGACTCATTTCCTAACCATAATGCCTCTTAAAACATATGATCCATTTTTGTTTAATCTCTCCCTTCTTTCTATCCAGTCCACCACAGAACTAGAATAATAGATTTCAGGAAGATGTTAATATATGTTAGAAAGATTTTATCTTTAATGGTGTTTCAAAGTAATTTTCTTTTCTTCTTGTTTGGTCATCTGTGTAATTTTATTGTATTCTACAATAAACAGGTCTTATTTTTACATTAGTACATCAAATAATATTAAGGCAACAAACTGCAGGATGTGCTTCATAAAATTTTATACACAATTTAACTCCTGAGTACTAAATTTGTTTTCATTTGTGTATTTGGTACAGAGTCTCACTGTGCAGATTGGACTCATGGTGATCCTCCTGTTTTCAGCCTCCCCAGCGCTGACACCTGGACTCTGTCACTGGCTCAGTACGCCCCATTTGCTCAAACCCTGGTCCCTGCACTTGCCAAAGCGGGCACTTACTCTGTGGAGCTATCTTGCCAGCCCTAAAATTTTTCTAAGTGTAAAATTTACTGAACAATTAACTTTTCTTGTTGTATTTAGTACCGAGTCTACAGGGACTACAGGGTCTCACTACATAGATCGGACTCATAGTGATCCGCCTGTGTTCAGCCTCCCAAGAGCTGGGATTACAGGTGCGCCACCACACCCGATCTCAATCGCTGTCTCAGCACAGCCTGTGGGCTGGGCCCACGTGGCAAAGATATTAACTTTTTAAATACCTGTTTTGTGACAATAAATATTACTATACACATGTTATTCAAAGTTTTTGTTTATACTAGTTGATTGTAAGCTTAGAAATCACTTCAGGAATGACATCAGGAAGCTTCTTTTTCTTTTTGAGTCTATAAATTAGCAGGAAGAAGTGAAGAACAGCTTAGCTGTAGGGACTAAGCTTTTAAGCTTCTCATATTTTGCTGGTGAAAGCTACTCATTTAAACAAAAAAATTATATCTTCATTTTGTAAAAAAAGTTTTGCTTTAATGGAAACAATCATATGTAAGAGCAATGTTGCTGTTTTACAGTGAGAAAAATTCGAGCATTCCCAGTTTGCTAAGCAGTAGGCATATGCAGTACATAGATCTAGGAGTGTAAGCTTTGCTAAATGGGCTTTGTTTTTAAGATATGTTAAATGCAGGTACCAACTTCCAAAAATAAACCTTATCCTCATGTAATATTGGCATGCTCTAATAAAATTTTTATTTTTATTTTTTGAAGAGAGCCTAATAAAATTTTTTAAATAAATAAAACGGCTTGTGAATGGAAAATGTTCTCTGATATTCTTGGAAGCATGATGTAAAGTGATTGTTAAATGTTTCTTAATGTTAGCTTTTGAATGAACTTTATGATAAATGTCATAGATTATGACTCATTCCAGTTCAGACACAATTCTTCGAATAAACCACCTACAGTTTGAAAGATAATGGCTTATTTTTTATGTAAATGATGTTCCATTTTATAAAGGAAGGGCAGTGCCCAGTCTTTATTTCATTCTAGATGGGTGATCTAAGATATTTTGCTTAAAATCATTCTTCGAAACATTTGAATCTGCTTTTCTGAAGGTCAGGTTTCTGCCCTTTACTTTGTCAACTAAGCTAAATTATGGGCAGATAACATCATTTTTAAACAGAAATCTTTAATTTTTATTTTTTTACATGATATGTCTTGATTCTCTTTTATTCCCATTCCCCTCCCTCTCCATCTATATTTCCTTTCCCCATTTTTATTAATACTACTGTTTTAGTGTGTGTTTCTTACATATGATATTTACATTCATTGTGGGTATTTGATACACTTAAATGGTACATCTTAAATCTTTTTCTTCCCTGCCTCCCCTCCCCCTTGGTCTCCTTCCAGTTTGCAAATGATCTATCTCCCTGTTTTCTTTTATCAGTATTTTATTTTTCTCTTTATTTATACTTTGCCTTATTCAAATGAGTGAGATCATATGGTATTTAAGCTTGTATATCCGATTTTTATTTCATTTAACATTATATTTTCCAAGTATATCCACTTTCCTATAAATGTCTAAATCTATCCTAAATGCAAACTAAAGCAACATTAAGATTTCATTTTATACTAGAAAGAATGCAGTCAAGAGCCAAATGATAACAAAGACTGGCAAGGCCATGGTCAAAAAGGAACCCTTCTACATTGTTGGTGGGAATGTATATTAGTACAGCCATTATGGAAATCAGTATGGAGGTTTCTCAAAGAACTAAACATAGGAATTCCATTTAACCTAGTGATTCCATTTCTAAGTATCTTCTCAAAAGAGATAACAGTGATACATGCCTCTCAATGTTTACAGCAGCTGATTCATAATAGCTAGATCCTGGAAGCAGCATATACATCCATCAACAGATAAATGGAAAATGAAATGTATACAGCATACACAATGTATAGTATAGTATAGTATATAGCATACACAATGGAATACTAGTTGGCAATAAAGATGGGCTAATAGGTATTTTAAAGGATTTTGGGTGTGATGAACCTTGAAGAAAAGAAGCATAAACAAGACAAGGGAGTATAAATATGTATAACTTTTGATAATTATACTGTGGCCTGAAGTTGCAACTTTTTTAAAATTTTAAACTATGTTTTCTTTTTCTCTTTTTATTTCTTATATCCTACCTCATATCCTCCAGAATATTTTCAAACAGAAAGCAATGGAAGAATTTTACAGAGGACATCTGTATACCTACCACCTGGGTTCTACTAGCAACATTTAACTATACTTTGTTCATCACATATCAATTTTTTATACATTTCAGAGTAAGAAGCATGTATTACCACACTTCCCTCTAAGTACTGCACTATACATATCAAACTTTGATAGCTACTTCCAAGGTATTTTGCAAATAAGTTCAAAAGTTTATACATCAACCAACACTGATTGCTTCTTTTCTGCAGTCTTGCCAACACAGGCTTTAATGTAATTTTAAAAAATCTTTCCCTTGTTCTAAAAATACAAATACTTTCCCTTTAATTTGCAGTTATTTTATTATGAGTAAAGTTGTGAATATATTCATAAATTGGCAAACTATCAGTATTTTTCCTATGAACTGTCTGATTATAGTCTTATGGATTTCATATATTTATTTTTTCTTGGCTCACCATTAAATTTTTTGTTATTCTAATGAATATTACGGGAATCAAATATTTTCCCATCAGATCTTTTGCAAGTGATTTTTCTTCATTTGCTTGAATTTTGACTTTGTTTACAGGTTGAATATCCATTATCTGAAACACTTGGGACTAGAAGTGTTTCAGATCATATATTTTGGGATATTTTCAGATACATAAGGAGATATGTTGGAGAGAGAACCCAAGCATAAACACAAAGTTTCATAAACACATTTTATATATGCCTTATACACATAGTTCAAGCTAATTTTATATAATATATTTACTGCATTAATGTTTTTGTCTTCAACCCTTCACATAAGGTCAAGTATAGGGTTTTCTTTTGTTGCACTATGTTGGCATTAAAAAAATTTCAGATTTTGGAGAATACTGGATTTTCAAATTAGAAATATTTACCCTACAATATATTTTCTGTCTCAGAAACTTTTACAATTTTATCCTATAAATGCTTCTAATACTTTCATGGTTTCAAGTTTTTTGCTTCTAAAAGCTTGATCTATTGACAGATTTTAAATCACTGAACTGCATAATTTTAGAAATAAATCTATATAACTAGTATCATCAGAGTACAAACTCCTCCTGATTCATAGCTCTGCAAAATAATAACCACAGAGCACAGGTTAGCTGCAGCTGAAACTGTCTTACAGCAGTAACCACCCTAACTTATGGGATAGAGGGGAAAGAAAAAAAGAGATAGTGGCTTTGGACATTATCTTTATAGCCTCATTCTTATCGTCTTTCTGTGCCAATATGATTGAGCAGAGAGTAGGAAAAAGCAGAAAGTGTCTGTCTCAATTACTTCTCTCTCATTGCTCAGACAAAGTATGCAATACCAAAAGTTAAGGGGACGGGGAACAGATTATTTAGCTCACAGTTTATAGAGGCTTCAGTCCATAATTTGCTGGCTCCAAGGCAGGGTGGCACATGGAGAGGGCAGCAGTTCATGGTTGTGGAAGATAGCAAAAGCCACAAGGTTCAGGGAAGGAGGATAAAACCCTTTGGGTCCCCTATCTTGTATGCAGGCTACCCTCCCTAGGGTGGGTGTAGTACTCACACCTTTAA